TGTCTACGCTGCAGCGGTCCGGGATGTACTGACTCATCTGGCTTCCTGTTGGATTCAAGGGACTGTTCACTCATATATCAAACAATCCGGAATACAACATAGGGTGAAGTGGTAAAGCTGGTTGGTGACCTGCGACCTGTCGGTTAACTAAGCTAGGAATATATATTACGTTCTAGGGTGAAGTGGTAAAGCTGGTTGGTGACCTACGACCTGTCGGATAAGTAAGCTAGGAATATATATAATGTTCTAGGGTGAAGTGGTAAAGCTGGTTGGCGACCTGCGACGTGTCGGATAACTAAGCTAGGAATATATATTATGTTCTAGGGTGAAGTGGTAAAGCTGGTTGGCGACCTGCGACGTGTCGGTTAACTAAGCTAGGAATATATATTATGTTCTAGGGTGAAGTGGTAAAGCTGGTTGGCGACCTGCGACGTGTCGGTTAAATAAGCTAGGAATATATATTATGTTCTAGGGTGAAGTGGTAAAGCTGGTTGGTGACCTGCGACCTGTTGTGCTAGGATTACGGTTAACTAGGCTAGGAACTGATCTGACCAGCCTGCCATACTGGATCCTAGCAAATACATCTCTACATTCTCTTCATATACAATCTACATATATCAAGGTTGGTATTATTCAATGTTCTTAAATGAGTTAGGTTACTCTCGATGCGTTCCAATGTACGGAAAATGTCGTCTCCTGATATAGATAGATATATACCTAATATGAGGACACCGATTATAGAGGCGAGAGTGACGTCATATTAGTTTTTTATCTATCTATCTTAGGAAACCCCACTTTCCGTACATTGGAGCGCATCGGTAGTAAGCAACTTACTTATCAGGGAAACATCCGTTTAAAGCCAACTTTTAACCGGTTCATAAGGAAAATTATTGATATGTATCCATTTAAAATAGTCCATGTGGTAACATTAGTGAACAAATGCATTAATTAACCAAAATGTTTTTTTTAATATTTCAAAAACAAATTGTTTTGAGCACTTGTTTAAAGATTTTTAACGTGGACCCCATTAAAATATATCGCCCAACGATTGTTGAACATGTTACTCTTACATTTTCTTATTCAGTCCAAACGAATAACGTATAAATTAATTTTTTGACATTTCGTGCAAAAACTTAAACATTAATAAAACTTATCAAAAAAATTAGTTTCAAATATTATTAAGTTGAATACACTCTAATACACTTCTTTAATACAAATGTGACATTTCCCGTGGCATAATTTGTTTTAAATAATCAAATCAAAGTAAAAAATCATGATTATTTTCATCTTCCTTAAGATACAGTTCATTAATTATAAATATAGTTCTTGCTACCAAACTAAACAAACGTTAACAGAGAAGATAACAAATATTTCTACCGTTAACTAGAGATGCCCGTGTTCGACTTTTTTAATTTCATTCGTTCATCGTTCGTGAACTACCCGTTTTGTTTTTATTATTTCAATCGTTCAAAAAAAATTGATTTCGTTCATTTAGTGAAAATCTAATTGTTTATTCAAAATGTTTTAGAAAATTTGTTCGTTCCGTAAAAAAGAATAGTTTTTCAAGATTGTTCGAACGATTTCGTTTTTTCATTTCTCTGAAAAATCCAAATTGTTCGTTCATCGCTCGTTTTTTTTCAAAACGACACAATTGTTCGAGAAAAATTTCGTTCGTTCACAAAACGATCCTAATCATCCCCGTTAACGCAGTTAACAATAGAGATCGCCATTTACCGGCATCTTTATAACTGAACGGAAAACCGTCAACTCTGGAAGTTTAGTTTTTAGATAAAACGAACGGCTGCTTTGCGTAGGTCGTCATTATTGTCTGATACTTTGTGGGTAACCCTGTACACTGTCTTTTTTGATTTTATGCTTTTACTAAGCTTTACAATAAATGATATCAAACAATTGCAACATGTCGAGAAAGGACAAATATGTTAGAATCATTCATTAAACATATATCTCAACTTTAATTAAGGGTTTCAAGCCTCCATTACTAATTTGATTTGACGGAGAATACATTATTCATCTCGTCTCTCTCCTAGTTCTACAGGAGCCTGGAGGGTTTCATTCTAGTTTTAAGATTAATTACTAAATTGAACTATATACCCTAGATCAGTTCTCATACTAAACCTAGTTCTCTTTCTATACAAAACCTAGTAACCATCCAACATAAAACCTAATTCTCATCCTACATAAAACCTAGTAACCACTCTACATAAAACCTAGTAACCATTCTACATAAAACCTAATTCTCATTCTATACAAAACCTAGTTTTAATCCTTCAGAAAACCCACTTCTCATCCTACAAAAAACCTAGTTATCATCCTACATATAACCTAGTTATAGTTATCATCCTACATTAAACCTAGTTCTCATCCTACACAAAACCCTGTTCTCATCCTTCATAAAACCTAGTTCTCATCCTACACAAAACCTAGTTATCATTCTCCACAAAATCCAGTTCTCATTCTACAAAAACCTAGTTCTCATCCCACATTAAACCTAAATCTCATCCCACATAAAACCTAAATCTCATCCTACATAAAACCTAGTTCTCATCCCACATAAAACCTAACTCTCATCCTACATAAAACCTAAATCTCATCCTACATAAAACCTAGTTCTCATCCCACATAAAACCTAAATCTCATCCTACATAAAACCTAGTTCTCATCCCACATAAAACCTAAATCTCATCCTACATAAAACTCTAGTTGTCAGGCCAAACAAAACCTTGTTTTTGAACTTACAGACCTTAAAGACCTTAATGCTGGTATTTTCTATTTTTATTTTCTATTTCTAAATCCTCTTGTATGAATTGTAATAGTCTTTTTAAGTTATCTCTTCTTCCCGCAGACATTTTGTGAAAGACATTTATTTGAGATGTTTTTTGAATAGATATGGTCGATTTTGCAGTTTTTTATTTTGCATTTGAACCTTAGAAACAGAACATGAAATTTTTTAAGATGCACAATCCATAAAATTTTAATAATTGATTTTTGCCAACTTTTTGCCTCTCAAGCCAAGGTGGAGAGTGCCAAATCTTGCCTCTGATGCATTTTCAGTTTTATGTTTTTGAACAAAACAAAGTTTTCCTAAACTTCGCATTTGACATTCGAAAAATTACATAATTTGGAGCATATTATTTTATATCTTTTGCAATTTTAGTATTATAAAGAAGAATTGCTGTTTTCATTTTTATCCCCCCCCCCTCCCCCTCCCTAGCTCACCCTTTAATATATTCACATAAGTACTTTTTAACATCGCTAACCCCTATGGAAGGTTTTTTAATTAAATAGCAAATTGCTTAAAAATGATAATGAATTTAGATATCTAAGCTCTTTGTAAAACCTTAAAAAATGTTACACTTTTGCTGCGTTAAATAAATCATAATTTTCAACGATGTCTAAAATCCAGTTATGAGATGTATATATAATGGTTGAATAACCAATAACCTAAAACCCCTGTACTTTAAACCATGCATTGAGCTAAAATATTCAATAATCTAGTAAATGGATTAATATATTAACCAAATTCCGCAGCATCAGAAAGACGCATTGACAAAAACAGGGATGACTAGTAGAAAAATCTGAACATACGAAAAAAAATTATATTCAATTGTTTAGAAATAGTTTGATCATAGAAATTAAACGATAATAATAAAACTACATAATTAAAAAGGAAAAGATTTTCAAAAAATTATAGCCTTTTTTGGTAAATTGAACGATAGTTTGTTGGTTTTGAAAAATCAAAAATGAAACAACAACGATAGTTTTTTTCGAACGTTTCTAAAACGCTAGTTTTTTCGAACGTTTTTAAAACGATAAACATTACGCTTCAGTCCCTTTAAGTTACTCTGCATTCCCTTTAAGTTACTCTGCAGTCCCTTTAAGTTACTCTGCAGTTCCTTTAAGTTACTCTGCAGTCCCTTTAAGTTACTCTGCAGTTCCTTTAAGTTACTCTGCAGTTCCTTTAAGTTACTCTGCAGTTCCTTTAAGTTACTCTGCAGTTCCTTTAAGTTATTCTGCAGTCCCTTTAAGTTACTCTGCAGTTCCTTTAAGTTACTCTGCAGTTCCTTTAAGTTACTCTGCAGTTCCTTTAAGTTACTCTGCAGTCCCTTTAAGTTGCTCTGAAGTCCCTTTAAGTTACTCTGCCCAGCCCAAGTAAGAATGAATTGAGCTGTATAAGTCCATCTGAAACAAAACATCAAGAACATTAAAACTTTTAAAACAACACATCTAAACTTGTAGACGGGAAACATCATGTAATGTTTCTCTTGATTCAACCAACCAGAAGAAAATATTAGCTTAGTTTTACATTTCCAAGAATATTTTCTACATTCCTTTAACAAAGCTTGGAGATTTTCATCCCTGTATTTTTGCAACCATATGTATGCTGTACACTCTGTTCCTTTTCAAAAAAATGTTGAGGCATATTATAATTTTATTCTATATTATATCATTATGATAAGTTTATAAAATTACAGTATATCACTAATTTCCTTTTTTTAAGCCTTTTTATTTTATTTTCTCAAATAGTAAATCAATTTATTTCCTTAACGGAAAGCTTAAAAAAAATTGTGCAATTTTCCAATAAAACTTAATCTGTTTTTTGGATTGATACACTTCCCTCATCAATTTGATTACCTAGTATTAAAAGAAAGAAGTAAGTTAGATTTATTTTATTAAACTGTGGTAAATTTTTAAACCTTTAGATTATTTGCTCAAATCAGTTTCTTCGTTTTCTTATTTCTTTTCCTCCCATAAAACAAATGCTAAAACATTTGTTTGGAAAAGTTTTAAAATTAGACCAAGAATAGAATAAGAAAGTTTGTTCAACAATCCAGACAAGTATGATGTTATTACATGTTATCATTAAAAAGTTAAGAAATAATCGCTTAGCCGTTGAGTTACTTCATGACAAAACAACAGAACATAAAAACACTTTACAATTGTCATAAAACAATCTTAAAAAACGTACAGCACAGTACAGTATATTCTATTAAAGTGTATTGCATTACAGTACATTAAATTACAATACAATACAGTATAGTACATTGCATGAAGTGCGGCGCACCACTAATCAGTATAGATCAGTTTATTAAAGTACAGTACAAGTAAACAACATTATAGTACAGTAAAGTACATTAAAGTATAGTGCAGTACAGTATAGTTCAGGGCAGTGCAGTATATTACAGTGCTGTACAGTATAGTAAAGTGCAGTACAGTATATCTTAGTGCAGTACATTATATTACAGTGCAGTACAGCATAGTACAGTGAAGTACAGTACAGTGTTATGCAGTACAGTACATTAAAGTTAAAGCACATGTACAATGTTTATCACAGATTGTTTGTTTAGGAGGTGGATGAGAATTTCTTCCAAGGAATGGAGAGTAGCCTTCAAACATTAGAGATATCTGATAGTTGGCTTACTTATGTACCAAGAGGAATTAATAAAATAGGTAAAAGAGATGTACACTGTACAGGCGTGTACATTGTAATCAAACATGAAAAAAAGTTTGTTTACTTTTTGACGCTTCTGAAAAATATAAACAATGAATAAACATTTTTCAATAATTATTCTATGTAATTTTGCACCAAATCTTCCTAATTTACGAACTTTCCCATCCCATCTTTTTATCTGAAACTATACAAATTTTTAAAATGCAATCATTTCCCTGTTTTGTTCTGAAAATTATCATTTGATATGCACCCGAGTACTCCAATTCAAATATTTGATATTGTAAATTGTAACTTCGAGTTTAACAGTTTAAAAAAAAAAATTTTTTTAAATATTTGCCACAAACTTAAAATTTGCTCACCCCTTTGCAACCTGATGGTGTAGGCTTATTTAAAACTTAGGTTTTTTGATCTTCCAGAATTCATAATTTGAAATGTCTAAGGTCTACGCCATTGAGTTGCAAAGATATAGGGAATAGTAAATCAGAGTTTGTGACAAAGACTGAATTTTATTAGGAAGTTTACGGGATTTAAGCTTATCTGGCAACAACATAACAGAACTCTACCCTTACTCTTTCTACGGGGCCAGGTAACAAATTATAAACTAGAAGAAAAGTTTGAACGTTTTTTTTAATATCACATTATCTTTCACATTCTTTCTCTCTGACCAAAGATGTAATGCAAAGAAAGTTATTTCAAAAGTGTACGCATCTTTTGTACTGCAGTGTACTTTCTCTGGGCGGTAATGTAAACACAAGTCGGATGTTACAGCCTGACATGGGATCCATCTTTCAAATAAAAAAATCAATGAAATATTCTGGTCATAGAAAACTATTATGTGAATTATCAAAACTATCAAATTTAATGCTTTTAACCTCCTCGGATACTAAACAAACACTGATGCACCCCTTCTTGTTTACAAATTCCGCCCAAAGAGAACTGGTTTCAATAAGTACGCAGAGTATACACGACCGCAATTAACTTTCCTTGCATTACACCCTTGTCTCTGACAAGCTCTGGTTTTTAACCTTATGTCGTAGGCCTTTGATATTTTAAACTCTGAGTTTTTCTTCATCAAATTAACGTTTAAAATATTAAAGGTTTACACCATCTGGTTATTTAGCTAAGGGAAATAAATCAGAATTCGAATTTAATGAAATTGAGCCGTGTCTCAAATCCGCCAAAAACCGGTTGCAATTGATCGGCGGCTTAAATCTTGAAACATTGAATACGATTTTACGTTGAGCCAACCATATTTGAACCGCGTCTCAAATTTAAGCGGCGGCTTAAATTCTTTAAATTCAGCCTTAAAATTCCATCAGGATTTTGGTTCGTTTCAGAATTTATCCCCCAAAATCGTCAGTTGTCTCATAATATATAAACACGTGTATATATTATACATTTTGTATTGCAAACACTAATAGTCTTAAAACACGTAGTTTATTTCCTTTAATGGGTATTACTGCAAATACAATACTGTGCTCTCAAAAATACTTATAGGGCAAAGTGCACTCTTGGAGCTTATAAAATCTATAAAATAAAATATATACATATACATATTATTATTTTTATTATTATTATTATTATTATATATATCATGAGGCAAAGTGCACTCTTGGAGCTTATAAAATCTATAAAATAAAATATATACATATACATATTATTATTTTTATTATTATTATTATTATTATATATATCATGAGGCAAAGTGCACTCTTGGAGCTTAAAAAATCTATAAAATAAAGCTTTTCGATCATTTATATGTTCACTATAGCTAGCCAAGCGGTTGGACCAAATTGGCTGAATTGTTTTTTTGAGGGAACCCTGGGTTGATATAGGCTAAAATATTATGTTTTATTCCACGGGCAACCCCGTGCACTGCTAAAATAATGATTAAAGACCAAGTCCGGGTAACCATAGTAATCAAAAAAATGAAAAAAAGTTATTTTACAACAAAAATTTTCAAAAATCCCAGAAATTTTAAGAAACAGATTAAAAATGTCCGAAAATTTGGATTGTGTTCGCAAGCCTAGACTTGTTAAATTATTTATTGCAATATTAAATATGTTCAATATAAATATAGATAAGAATAATTTTACTTTTAGTTTATCTTCTCTGAACCTCGGAGGAAACTATTTAACCTCCCTCAGCGACAATTCATTCCTTGGCTTAGGAAAACTTCATCTCTATATTCAAAAAGTGGGTTTCATGTATGTTCATGTCTGTTCATGTCTGTTCATGTCTGTTCATGTCTGTTCATGTCTGTTCATGTCTGTTCATGTCTGTTCATGTCTGTTCATGTCTGTTCATGTATATTTGGAAAAATATCGGGGACAAAAGCGGTTTTTGTTGTAGGTCTGATGTTTGGTCTTTGTAAAAGGAATTCAGTCTTTGCAACAAACTCTAATTTTCTAATCCCAATATTTTTGGAACCCAATGTCCTAGACCATAGATATCTTAAACTATGAATTCTGTTCGATCAAATAATTTAAGTTTGAAATATTAATAACCTAACCTAATTTTACACCACCAGATTGCTAAGATACAGGGCTTAAAAAGTTCGAGTTTGTGGCAAGAGATCAATTACTTTGTGTTACATGGCTTTAATTACTTTCTCTAATACTTTCTCTAATTACTCTCTAATACCCTTTCTAGCGAAACTAGTTTGTCACTAACTCAAAAAATTGAAAATTATGAGAATCTTTAAGAATATAAAAATTCCTTTTACAGGAATAACAAATTATGGTATTAATGTGTAATGCAGTACCACACTGCATTTTTTTTTTTTTATTTGTTCTTAAACATGCAAATATATTAAAGCTAAACAACTTCAGCACATTTTACACAGAGTCGAATTTTACTTGGGAATAATTTGCTTTCTCTGCAAGAAACTGTTCAAGTTTATTCCAGCTTAAAATTCTATAAAAGATGCAATTTTGCCAGATATTGCAGCATTTAAACACTTGTTTGCCAAATTTTTACAAACTTTAGGATTTTGAAAGAAGTTATTATTTAATAAATGCTTTATGGATTATAGAGTTAAGCTAAAGTTTAACAAAGTTAGGTTTATGGAATATTATAGACTAGGCTTTTAGGGCGCTTCGCGAACATTTTCTATTTCAACTTTTTACTGCGGCTTTATCTGTGAGCATCTTCTCTTTGTAAAGTATAAAAAAAAGTTTGCACATTTCATAATATTTTTTGCGCATTTTCAAAATTTTACCAAGATAAAAAACTTTTAAACACAAATTTTTAAGATTTTAATAATTCATAAACCTTCCCTGGTGCCACGTGACGCAAAAAATAAACAGACACCCAGACAGGTTAAATTTATATATAGATGTGTTTTATGCACTTATGTATATAATTGCACATAATTACTACTAAACTTTGGAACGAAATTTGATTGGTCAATATTTAGTTCTTTATGCTTCTTAGAACTCAGTTCCTTTGTAATACAAACTTCATGATTTTAATAGAAGTTATTTTATTTGGTAAATGCTTTACGGATAATTATAGTTAAGATAAAGGTGAACTTTTTTATACAGGGTGTCCCAAAAAACATGGGAATTCAGTAACGAATTCGATATCGTCTTTGTTAAGAATTAGCATTGTAATACCTGATTTCAAAAGCCATCATATTATTATGTCTGCTAGAGTTTATTTCATGAAAAGGGTAAAAAGACTGCAAAGATGTATCAATAATGTCTCCGCAAGATGAACAGTGAAGACGGACAAGTTTACTCTGTTTGCATTATGCAATTTTCTTGTTTTACTAAGAACAACCGTATGCAGCCAAAACATAAACAAACAAAATGTGAACATAGCAGACGAAACTCTTACAGATTATAGCTTTCTCAGTTGGTATCACTATACTAAATCAAAGAATTATTTAAAAAGACGATATCGAATTCGTCACTGAATTCTCCTGTTTTTTGGGACAACCTGTATTATTACACATAATTACTATTTAAATCTCTATGTAGATATATGCTATGAAATGATCCCATTGGAAAGAAATATAATTGTTAAAATATTTCATTTCTGACGTTTCTAAGAGTTAGTTAATTATTCATCAGAAGTAGTTGAATTTTTTTACAAAAATTCTAATAATTTAACTGACGAATAGTTTTTAGAACATGCATGATTATTGTATAGTTGAATTCCACACCACTCAAGCATTTTAAAATTTTTAGAGTTCTAGATTCAAATTCAAATTAATCTATCATATTCTTTAAAACAGTTTATTTTTTTATATTTTTTACTTAACATTAGGTCGATAGTGTTTTATAGAAATACAAAATATATTGGAGGTAAATTCAAGTGACCTAATATCTTTAAGTCTGATTCAAAACAATATCCTTTGAAGCGGTATCTGAGCAAACAAATAAAATCCTAATCATTATTGATCCAATCAAGGATGGGCCATAAGAGAATTTATTTATTGTGCAAAAAAGAATTCTGGAATACGCAATAAGCTCCGTTTTGGTGGCTAAAAACTGGTTTGGCAGTCTGTTTACAAACAATCTAATTAGGCTACTGCCGAAAAAATATCTACAGTTCGAGTTTCGACAGTTTATATCCGTTAAATCTCTATCTTAAAACACTTGGTTTAATTTCATGTTTCGGTTCAAGTCTAGATAGTTTCGGATGTGTTTGTTGACAAACAACCACTATATATTCGTACAGCCACCGAAACTGTGTTCATTGTGAATTAAAGAATTGTGTATTCTGAATACAAAATTCTCTTATGGCCTCTTACCTTACCTTGGATCCATTTGACTGCTAAAGAGTGCTAATTTGGTCGCAATTGGGCCTTTTGTCATTGTCTGTCATGATATTTGCCAATTTCTACAGACCCCTGCAAAATCAAACAGCACATGTTTAAAAAAAAACATTTCTCCATGAAATGAAATCCTGTCTTGCAAAAATTCAAATTGAAAAAGTGTGAAACAGCATGGAATTTAGCAAACTCACATCTTCTCCTGGAAAAAAATGCAAA